TTCCCGCCCCCCTTCCTTTCCGCCTGCCGGGAGAGGTTTGTTCCCCAGGTGCCTGGCAGGGCGAGGGGCCCCGTGGCAGCGGCCCCCCTCCCCAAAAGCGCCCCCCCCTCTCGTGGCCCCTCCAGGACGGGCAGGTCCCCCCCCCCGATCGGTGGAGCGCCCGGGCCGGGTTTTCTCCCAGGGCGCACGGGGAGAGCCGCCTTCCTCCTCTTCCTCCGCACAGCCCTGTGAGGTAGGGTCGGGCGAAGAGCGGGGGGGGGGGCCCCGAAACCGGCCTCTTGAGTTTCGTGGCTGGGCAAGGGTTTTGAGGATCTGTGCCTGCGCTGGGCGGGCGCTAACCACTGCACCGCACCGCCGCGCGGCATGCAGGGGCTGAATATGTTTGTCCAGACGCCGCGTGCCATGAATAAGTTCGTCTGTCTTGGAAACCGGTTCCCGGTCACCGGGAGGAACTGCACAAGCTTTCCACCTGCTGGGTCCCTTTGCATGCATTGCCTGGTGTTTTATTTCAGGGTGATTTCTGGCTCCTGTTCTTTTCCCTGGCTGGGTTGATCGGCTTTCCCTTTGCGTTCCTCCACCTTTCCCGGTTTCCCTGTGTGTAAACTCGAAATATTCTTGGAGTGCAGGACGGCCTGACCTCTGGCCCTCCCGTGCAAGGCCGCCCGATGCCTTCGGGGCACCCGGGATCCTAGGAGGAACTGGGGCGGGGCGAGGGGGGGGCGGTTGACTGTTTGCCCAGTTTTGCTGTCCAACTTGATTTGAAGAAAGCGCCCTGTCTCCTCTTTTGTTAGTATTGTGGATTCTAGACTTTGGAAGTGCAAACTTGGGAAGCAAGATGTTGAACAGACGCCTTCAGAAATCAGCTACAAACCCATTGCACGACGTGCTACTTAACACAGAGAAGTTGGGGAAATTGCTGATGGGGGCATGGCAGGAGGGGATATCCCCCAAAAAAGTAACTTTCCCAAGCTTTGTCTTAAATTTTGCAGTGCTCTCAGCGTGGAAGACACTGACACTCATGATTTATGCTTGCCTATACCTAATGCATTTC